AAAATTAATACTAATAAAAATAATTGTTAATAAACTAATGTTACAGTAATTTAAATGACAAATTGGCTACTTTTTCCAGATACAATGTAAATAAATAACAATAATAATAATAGTAATAATAATAATATTAATAATAATAATATATATAACATCATATCATATTTTAATATTTATTTTATTTGCTGTATTTGTTATGCGGTATAAAGTGTAGGATTCATAACAAAACGAAAATAAAAACCGTCCGATAATATTAATTGATAGTTTAGTAATAATAGTATTAATTTTATTTGCTTTTAAGTAGCCCGTTGTTACTTATTATAAATACAACAAAACATAAATAAAAAAGTATGATAAACCGATTGACGAACTTGCAATGATAATTAGGCCTAGTTATATTAAATTTAGCGTTTCGAAACTCCATTGGCGCTACGTATATTTGTTGAAAACAAACCGCGACCGAAATGAAGCGCGACCGAAACGAAGCGCGACCGAAACGAAGCGCGACCGAAATGATCTGTATTCGAATTCGGTTGGCAAAAATAATATTATTGCATTTACAGGTTTAATATTTACTCGTCAAGTAATATATGATGCTTCCAAACAACAAATTCCTTTTAAATAGAGAACTGTGAGTCAAATATATTTTTACAATATTTTAATGGGCATAAATTGAACTCAAGCTTCCAAAACAACAAATTACCTTTTAATTAGAGAACTGTGAGCCAATATTTTTACAATATTTTAATGGACATAAATTGAACTTAAAAAATGCCAATTTTGGTGAGAAACCTAAAATAATGGTCTACGATGTATGTTTTTTCCAGAACTAGACGGGTGCACGCGTCTAGAGGGTAAAACGTCACAAACATTTGGTCCTTACTCAAATTAGTATATGATGATTATTACAATAGTTTTGTTTTGCTTGCTTTGTTTGTATGACAAGTACAATCATTAGATGTTTGTATGCTCGTCAATGGAAAGTACTTTTCAAAAGCTAAGTTTCAGTTTATTCAACAGGCACTATCAACATATCAAGTTTTTTTATCAGATCAGTTAAAAAAGGTGTAATTCAACAACTGCAAATTAGCAGTTTACACAAGGTTACATAAATATAAAAAAGCGGTATCAACAACCGAAAGGTCCACTGATTAATCTCAGATAAGATGATAATACTTACTCCAAGTAGGCCTATATGCACACCATCATGTCGGCATTAAATATGTCATCATCAGGAAGTTCAACAAAGTGTAACTTCCAGAGTCCATACATTATAACATACAATCGGTACGTAGAAAACGAAGACCCCTATTTTTCTCTTTTATTTTTAATGATAGGCCTAATACTCTGAGGCTGTCACAAATCAAAATTACAATATTATTTGGCCTCTTAATATCAAGGGTCACCCTATTATGGGTGTCTACAAAACGAAGACTGAAGACCTAAAAAACGATCACACCCAATTATTTCTTAATTTTTTTATTTAAAGTATTTCAAAATCATCATTAAACTATTAGCAAGTATTTCGTTTATCATTTCGTTTAGCCCACCAATGCGTTATAGGGCCTACTCTCAGTGCGCCCGTCAAATGATCATCGAGCCCCCCCCCCCCCTTCGCGCCCCCTCATCAGCACCCCATTTCCAGACTTCTAGATACGCCACTGTATATTCTTAACAAAATTCTAAAACAAAAAGACTAAATATGCTATCCGCTGATGAGAAAAACATTCTCATGGCTAATACCTGGAATAAACCATGTTTGTTATCTATCAACTATGACACGAAATATAAATACATTTTTTCCACTTTAGCTGAGTTGAACAAATTGAACATTATAAAAAACTATATTAATCCTGCGATTAGAATCTCAAATTAATTGTAACCATCAAAAAAACTTCAAATACAACGTTTATAGTATAATTTAGTAATATATGCACGCTTGTTTTTTCTTGTTTTTTTTTTGTTTTTGTTTTTTTTGTTTTGTTTTGGTTTGTTTTTTTGCTAATTAGTAACATATCTTAAAAGTAATGACGTGCTATGCAGCTTCAGTCATGTATTTTGTATGACCAAGCATCATAGAGGTATGTTGCCATAGAAAAATCTGTACTGAGATTGAAACCATAGTCCTGTATCAAAAACAAATGACAAGCCCTTTCTAACAAACATAATAATTCATTGTAAATATTTATTCGGGATGATTATTTAACCAAATGGTTAACCAGTCCAAAATATTTCCTGCTTTGAATCTAAACCAAAACAAATTCTACAAAAATAAATTGACAACGAAAGTTATTTGTAAATATTGTTAACTAGTCTAAAATATTTCCTGATATTTCTGTTTTACTTCCTAGTCTGAATCTGAACCACAACAAATTC